AGCACAGCCGGTGTTCCCGGCCCGGTTCAGCCCCGGTAAGGAGAACAGCCGGTGTCCCGGCCCGGTTCAGCCCCGGTAAGGAGCACAGCCGGTGTCCCGGTTCGCCCCTGACCCGGCCCCGTCCCGGCCCGCCCTCGGACCGTCGCTCCCGGTTCCTTTAGGCTCGCCCCGGGCGGCATTCCTGCCCCGCGGCTCGGCAGCCCCACGGCCGGAGCGCCGGTCCCGGCGGGGCCCCGGGGCGCCGCCCGCCTCCCCCTCCCGCCGCCGTTGGCCCCGGAGCCGCGGCGCACCTGCCCGGCCAGCACGGGCTCGGCCAGGATCTCGAGGCCGTACTTGAGCTCGCTGAGCTCCTGCAGGTTGAGCGCGGCTCGGGCCCCGCGGAGGGGCCAGCCCGGGCCGAGCAGCGCCAGCAGCGCCAGCGCCGCCGCCGGCCCCGGGCCCCGCCGCGCCGCCATCTTCCCCCGCCGCCGCCGCCGCCGCTTCCGCCCGCGCCTCCCCGCGCCCGCCCCGGCCCCGCTGCTCCGCGCCGCGATTGGCTCGGGCATCTGTCTGTCAAAGGCAAGCGCGGCTCTGATTGGCCATTGGGAGGGGATGACGCCGCCGGTTGTGAGGCCGCGGGGGCGAGGCGGTGGCGAGACGGGGGCCGCGGCGATTGGCCGGAGCGCGCGCGGGCGGCAGCCAATGGCGAGGCGGGGCGCGGCCGGCCGCGATGACGTCACGAGCGGCTGTTCCCCATTGGTCGAGCGGGATGCAGGCGATCCCCGCGCGCTGATTGGCGGACAGCGCCGAGCATCCCCGGGGGACCAAGTGATTACCGGGGCCGGGAGGGGGCTCCGCGGTGTGCGGGGCGCCCCGAGCGAGCGGGGCCGCCCCCAACAGCCCCGGCCCCATCCCCGGCACCGGAGCCCCTCTGCTCCCCCGGCCTGCCCCGGGCCCGCCCAAACCTCTCCGAGCGCCCCCCGTGCCCCTCCGCGCTCCCCCCGCCGCCGGCAGCACCGCGAGCCTCCCCAGCCCCCCCGGCTCCGCAGCCGCTCCGAGCGCCCGCCCCCTCCCGGTCCCGGCAGAGCTCGTGCCGGGCCCCCCCGCGCCCCCGCCCCGCTCAATGGGGCCGTTGTGCGCCCCACGCGTGGGCACAAAGCGCGGCCTGTGGCCGCCGCGCCGGGGCCGCTGATCCCGGCCCGGCCCCCCCGACCGGCCCGAGCCGCGGGGCAGCCGCCGCCCGCCCCTCCCCGCGCTCTGCGCCCCCCCCGCCTCTCCCCCCGCAGCCTCGCCCCGCCCCTCCCGGTGCTGCGGCGGTGCCGTTCCACACCGGGGCCGCCGGGGGCGCCCTCGCCGCCCGCTCCGGTGCCGGTGCCGCTTGCGGCCGCGGAGCGCCGGGATCCGCCAGCGGAGCCAGGTAGGGCCGGGGCCGCTCTTGTCGCGACGCGTCGCGGCGAGGGATGGCACCTGCCACCGCCCCGCGGCTGCGACATCGCCGCTCTCCCCCCGAACACACCCGGCTCCCCGCGTCCCGCGCCCCCGGGCCCCCCGGCACCCCGCATCCCCGGCCCGCTGCGCCCCCGGCCCCCCCTCGCTCCGCATCCCCCGCGCCCCCCGAGCCCCCCGAGCCCCCCCAAGGCAGCCCCGGCCCCTCCCGCCGCGGCGCCCGCGCCCAGCCCCGCCTGAGCCCGAGCCCCTCATCCTCGGGGGTCCCCCGGGGGGTCCGGGGCGGCGGGACCGGGAGGCGGCGGGACCGGGGGATCCGGGGCCGCTGCGGGTCCCGCCCGCCCCGACGCTGTCCCCGTGTCCCCAGGCCGGTGCTGCGGGGGCAGAGCCATGAGTGTGGGCTGAGCCCCCCCCGCCGGGACCTG